CGAGCTCGCGTACAGCCACCTGAAGAACCTGTATCAAGCAACAGACAGTGTCAATCAGAGTCGGTTAATGGCACAACTGACAACAGTGGAAATGAAACCTGGCAAAAAGGGGATGGCGTATATCAGTCGCTACGGCGGACTGCGCGATAGACTCCTTCGATGCGGAGGAGCAATATCAGAAGAAGCCTTCGTCACTGTCATCATCGCTGGACTTGGTCCTCATTGGCGCTCCACCCGCACCCTTCTTCGAGCCCACAGGAAGATCTCAGAAGCGACGCTCTGCGCCGAAATTCACGCTGAACAACAAGATATGGACCTGCACGAGGAGCGGCATAAGAAAATAACGTCAGTACCCGAATTTGCATTCCACACTCAACGACGCTACAACAACAACAACAACAACCGGCAGAACAAGCTTCAAGTACAACGCTACGTACCTCCATTCTGCGACCTCTGCAAGACGTCAGGGCACCCTCGCACACACTTCCCGAATCAGCAGTAGTCAACGCCACAGCAACGTCAACTTCGACCTTCAAGCAGTCAAGTGGCGTCCACACAAGTACACCCCACCAGTCAAACGCAGTCTTTAACGACATCAACGCAATCTGCACAAGGGACAAGAAACATTGTGAGCTACATGACGAGAATCACAGACTCCTGCATCACAGAGTCACCGCCATACTACTCACCAGAAGAGCTACTCGACGAGAGAACTCCCTCCCGCGAGTCACTGGAGCCGAACCCGACATACGCAGCCATCGCCCAAAGCGAGCCGTCCGGGAAAGACACCTGGTTCTTGGACAGCTGCTGCGGACAGCACATGTGCTCCTCGAGTCGCTTCGTTCAACAAGAACATCAACTGCAGCGCGAAGTCGTCATCACCGTCGCCAACAATCAGAACCTGCGCACACGACGACAAGGAATTGTTCAACTTCAGTCGCGAGAAACTAATGTCATCTTGCAAATGTCGAATGTTTTAATTGCAGAAGGACTCGGCTACAACTTACTGAGCGTCAGCCAACTTATGGCGAAGGGGATTCATCCTGAAGCAGTCAGCACTACCCAAGAGTTCAGACTGTACAACGGGAAAGGTAGATTGTACATCGGGAAGGCAGTGTTGAAGAATAACATCTTCGTCCTCAACTTCGTTCCAAATCAAGGCACCGCCGACAGCGACGCCATCGTGAACTTCACCTCCTGGACGCACCCGCCCGATCTCGACCCCGACTTCAGCCCCGGCGGCTTCTGGTACTCGAACATGATTCCTGAGGCAAAACAAACAAGAGCATTAGCAACAATTCAGACAACATCGGCAGCGACAGAAACAACATCGGCAGCAGCAGAGACAACATCGGCAGCAGCAGAAACAACATCGGCAGCAGCAGAGACAACACCGACACCAATCGCTGGTCCCTCGACAACACCAGTCCTCATCGACAACACGCCACCAACTCCTGCGCAACAGCTGACTCCCACTCCACGAGAAGTCCACAGAAGCGCCAACTTCACCGCAGGCTTCTACTCCAACTCCGACTTGTACAGACGCTCACCCGGACATCGTGCTGGTGAAGACATCTGGCATGCAAGATTGGGACACCCGAGCAACACCACGTTAAACAGCACAATAAGAGCTGGAGTTCTTGACAAAGACTCGTTACTCCTACATGATGGCAGAGAGCTTCAACGAGTCCGAGGAACATGCTTTACCTGCCCTGAAGCCGACTTACCGCATCAGCCGTTCGTCTCTCACCACAACCCGAGCGCACCAGCGTACGCACCACTGGAGAAGGTGTACAGCGACATTCTATACAACCGCAAACCTGGACAAGGAACATACAGCTACGTCATCACGTTCATCGATGCCGCCACACGATACGTCTGGCACTTCAATCTCCCTAGCCGCGACATGGCCTTCGAAGCTTTCGTTGCCTGGCTTCGAGCAGCAGAACGAGAATCAAGGGCAAAGCTAAAAAGCTTCCAGTCAGACGGGGGAGGGGAATATCAATCACAAAGATTCAAGCAGTACCTGGCAGAACGAGGCATCAAGAGGCTCATCTCTCTTCCCTACGCCCATCAACAGCAAGGTGTGGCAGAAAGGATGAACAGGACCCTCCAGAACACCATGCGCAAGCTGCTACGTGGCATGCGGCTACCCAACCACCAGTGGCCCGAAGCAATGGACCATGCCGTGATGCTGCACAACTTGCTTTCGTCGTCGTCACTCCCGAACAACGCATCACCGCATCTGCTGTGGACAGGGAAATTGGGCAGCACAAAAATGTTACGAGTTTTCGGCTGCATGGTACAGTACTGACCCCCAGCTGCACGGGCCGGCCGATTCTCCCAACGCGCACAGTGGGGAGTATATCTGGGCATCGAAAAACATTACAACGCATGGAAGATTTTTTACGTCCACACAAAGGAAACAGTGGCAGCACGTGACGTAATTTTCTACGAACGACTCACCCTTCCATCGTACCTTGCCAACCTGGAAGAAGAACGGGACCCCACAGGTGGATTCGACGGTAACCGAGCCTTCGCCTCGGCAGTAGACGAAGCAGACTGGGACGAACAAAATGTGGACCGAGCCTCGGAGGAAGCCGGACCTCTTCCATACTGTTCGGTCGATGTCCCGATGGACGACGAAAACCCTCGCGAAAGCATCAACGCCGAAGTCTACTACGACCTCGCCGACAATGGTTACGTTACACCCGCGCGAATCAGCACCGACGAAGCAGAACGCATAGGACCCAATTTCGTACCTGATTCAGAAGCGGGAGACGAAGCAGCTTATCCCCCCCCGACTCCCACAGAGTGGATTACAGATACTAGGACTTGTCACTGCGGTCCACGGAGCAGCACCACCTAAGGAGCCTGCCACAGTTCAGCAGGCTCTGGGGGGGGAGCACAGGGAAAAATGGCGCGAAGCCATGGACAGGGAGTTAAAGGCATTGGAAGAACGCAACACCTGGAAAATCGTTCCTATCACCGGAAAATGGGTATTCCGTGTGAAAACCAAAGCTGATGGAACCATCGATAAGTTCAAAGCGCGTTGGGTCGTACGTGGATTCGACCAAGAGCACGGACGGGACTTCACCGAAACGTTCGCACCGGTCAGCCGGCACACCTCATTGTGGATTCTCCTCGCGATCGCCGCCATGAAGCGGAAAAGGCTTCGCCAAATCGACGTCGCCAACGCCTTTCTCTACGCACCCGTCGACGCTGAGATCTTCGTCGAACAGCCACACGGCTCCAACACAGACCCTAACAAAGTGTGTCAGCTACTGAAGTCCCTGTACGGCATCAAACAGGCCCCGAGGCTGTGGCAGCAGTACCTACACGCTCGACTCATCCGCATCGGATTCCGCCAGCTACCGCACGACCAGGGCATGTACCGGCTCACAAAAGGCACCAACTACATCCTGCTTATCGTCTACGTGGACGATCTACTCTACATTGGCTCAACCGACGGCATCACGACCTGGTTCGAAGGGGAGCTACAGTGGGACCTCACACTCACCGTCTCATCTACCGTAACACAGTATCTCGGGCTCAACATACAGGAAGAAGAAAGCGCGATCCACCTCAGCGCCACGAAATACGCCGACACCATCGCCTAGCGCTTCGGACTTACCCCAACTGCTATCTCCACGCCATATCGCTACACCGCCGGAAATCCCAAAGAAGCCTCTGCGCCACTTAAGCCCGCTGGCATATGCGACTATCAGCGAAAGCTAGGATGCCTGCTATTCGCAGCCGTCACCTGCCGACCAGACCTATCGTATTCGGCAAGCCAGCTCGCCACCTACCTCAAGAAACCCGAAGCAGAGCACATGGCGGAGCTCGACCGCGCACTCCACTACCTCGTCAGCACCCCGACAATCGGCCTAACCTACCACAAAAACGGAACCACGACGCCTAAGTTGATCGGCTACGTGGATGCAGACCACGCTGGGGACGCTGACAACAGGCGCTCACGCACCGGCTACATCTACCAATTCAAGCCTATTAGACCTATCTCGTGGCAGTCGAGCAAACAAGAATTAATCGCTCTCTCCTCAGCTGAAGCAGAATACATTGCACTCTGCTCAGCCACCAAGGAAACCTTTCTATAATCAATCTATCTTGCCCTCACACACTAGCGCAAGGTGGTTCAATACTTCTCATTAAAACGCTTCCGCAATTACAACATTCCTACCAGGAGTTCTAGCCTCGAAAAGATCCTAAGCGCTATTTCTCAGCCCAACACTTTTATGTACCAAGGCTGGTGGATCAGCCTGGTCCAAAACGAATATAGGGCCTTGACCAAAACCCTCTTTCCATCTCTCTTTCTACGTGCCTAAGAGCCCGATATTAACAGTAGTGCAAGGAAAAACCCTTTTTCCTTTACAACCCCTGCTTTCGGATGTACACGTTCGGCCGGTTTCCTTGTTACCGAAACAACCTCGTGCCGTCTTCGGTTTCCCTTTGCCCAACCTGCACCCAACCTCGTGTTCCCGAGGTTCCCGCCTAGCAAGGTTTGATCCGCTGTGTTATCTCGAGTCATTTATTTTATGGTCAGTCCATATTGTTACAGCTTTGTTATTCGTTATCCTCACAACTCTGTTTGACAACGCATTACGTATTAGCTATGAAATTTTATTTCCCCTCAGGATTTCGTTTTGAGTGTAGCTGGAATATCTGTCTGTCGCGTGTGCATCTGGACAACTGTCCTCGTTAGAAGAAACCTTGGGGTGTGCCGCGAATGCTATTGGATGGGGTGGGGTCAGTTGATTTCTCCTGGCCAAACTGTAGCTCGCTCGCCCAACTCTGCGTTGCTCCTCCCCGCCTCGCCCTTCACCCCACCCACCTTGTTCTGTACTGTACATCGCTGTGTGGTCCTACCCATGTGACATCTTGGAAATTGAGGCGCATTTTACGGTACTAGTAGCGCGCATTTCAAGCACCTCGCATTTAGTTCGTTTCGCAGGGCCTGAAATAAGTAGTCCTTCACCTCTCGCATGTGCTATCGTGCATATTCCGAGCCCCTTACTAGTGAACTCACGGCTTCCGACTGGACTGTCGCACCTCCGCGCACGTTCGTCGCCGCACTCGCCGGCCGCCATCATTCGAACTCCCGTGCTCTCTTACCCCACTCTGTAGGCCCTCACCCTCCCCCTAGGTCTCCTCACCCCCCACCGGGCCAGAGGTCCCCAGCCCGCCCCCGCTCCGCCATGTCGTGGTTCCGCTCCGCGCTGAGCATAGGCGCGGAAGCCGCCAATGCGAGCGGCAAGGCGGTGGGGTCGGGGTTCGAGCGCGCGAGCTCGTTCGCGTCGTCGGTGGTGCAGCGCGCCAATGACGCCGTGCTGCTGGCGGGCGACGCGGTGGAGCAGGGCGCCAAGATGGTCTACGAGCACGCCGAGCACGCCGTGGTGCGTCACCCCCCGCCGCCGCCGCCGCCGCGCCGTACGAGCGCCGCCCGCGTCCTCTGCTGCGCATCCCACCGCCCGCCCGCGCTACTCTTCCGCCGCCGCTGCCTGCCTTAACTCTCCATGGCGTTTGAATGCTCAGCATGTGCCTTTGCCTCTATCTCACCATTCCTCGCCGCCCCCCACCTCCCGCCGCTCCCCCCGCGCAGGGCGGCGCGTCGGCGCGGCAGCACAACAGCTTCCGCCACGCCGTGCGGCGCATAGAGGAGGTGGCGATGCTGGCGCGCGGGGCGGAGCGCAAAGAGGCGCTGGCGCGCTGGCTGGGCGCGTTGGCGGAAATCAGCGCGGAGAGGGAGCAGGCGGAGCGCGGAGAGAAGGAGCTGGCGGCGCTGCAGCAGCTGGGGATGGGGCTCGCGCTGGGGGGGAGCGCGGCGGCGGGTGGGGGGAGCGATGGCGGTGGGGGTAGCGGGAAGAATGATTCAGCGGAGGGCGAGGGGGGGGCAGCGGGGCAGCGGGCGGTGGGGGCAGACGGGGGCGGAGGGCAGGCGGGGGAGGGTGCGGAGGAGGGAGCTGGTGAGGGCGCGGGTAAGGGCGCTGGCGAGAGCGACGGCTCAAGTGGCAGCGGCGTGAGGGAGGGGTTGGCGCCGCCCTCAGCGTCTCCGCGGCGCCTCCCTGCACCGCCCAGCGCCCCCCCGCATAGCAGGGTGTCTCGGGTGAGTGCCATGGCACTGTGTGGCGGGTGAAACAGCAAGCCTCAGCGCAGCAGCACACGAGTGGAGCAGCAAAGAGCACGACCACCCAATGCCGCGTGCCATCAACTTCCCCCTGCCTTCCCGCTCCCTTCCCCCGCTGCCCCCCCCCCTCGCTGCTTGCAGGTGCTGTTCCACGACCCCAACGCGCCCCACCAGCCGCTCACCTTCCGCGACGTCTTTCTGCACAGCCAGGCGCTGGAGAACATGGTGGCGTCGCTGGTGAGTGCGAGTCAACTCAAGTCTTTCTGCACAGCCAGGCGCTGGAGAACATGGTGGCGTCGCTGGTGAGTGACTTCCTCGTGCCCCCATGTGCCTGCCGCACCATGTGCCCCCATGTGCCCCTGTGTGCCCCCATGTGCCCCTGTGTGCCCCCATGTACATTCATGCGCATTCTTGTTCCCCCATGCCCCCATGCCGCCTGCATGGCTGGCAGGTGATGGACCCCGGGGATGACGAGGAGTTCTGGCTGCTTAGAAACCTCTTCAGGTGCCCTCCCTCGCCCCCTCATCCTCCTTCCTCCTTCCTCTTCCTCCTTCCTCTTCCTCCTTCCCTCCTTTCCTCCTTCCTCTTCCTCCTTCCTCTTCCTCCTGCCTCTTTCCTCCTGCCTCTTTCCTCCTTCCTCTTTCCTCCTTCCTCTTCCTCCTTCCTCTCTCCTCCTTCCTCTCTCCTTCCTCTTCCTCCTTCCTCTCTCCTTCCTCCCTCCCCTTTCCTCCCTCCCCCCTTCCTCCCTCCCCCTTCCTCCCTCCCCCTTCCTCCCTCCCCCTTCCTCCCTCCCCCTTCCTCCCTCCCCCTTCCTCCCTCTTCCTTCCTCTTCGTCCTTCCTTCTCCTTCCGCCTCCCTCCTGTCCCGGCACGCCATGCTCCAATGGAGCAGCGCTCTGTGTGTTGCTCGTTCTTTGCGGTGTCGCATTGCTTGCATGCGAGTAGCCAGTAGGCATGCAGTGACTGCAATTGATCTCACAGCATTCTGCATCGATCGCATTGGAGGAGCCAGACGGTGCCTTCCTTTCTCAACCAGACGGTGCCTTCCTTTCTCAACCAGACGGTGCCTTCTTTTCTCAACCAGACGGTGCCTTCCTTTCTCAACCAGACGGTGCCTTCCTTTCTCAACCAGACGGTGCCTTCCTTTCTCAACCAGACGGTGCCTTCCTTTCTCAACCAGACGGTGCCTTCCTTTCTCAACCAGACGGTGCCTTCCTTTCTCAACCAGACGGTGCCTTCCTTTCTCAACCAGACGGTGCCTTCCTTTCTCAACCAGACGGTGCCTTCCTTTCTCAACCAGACGGTGCCTTCCTTTCTCAACCAGACGGTGCCTTCCTTTCTCAACCAGACGGTGCCTTCCTATCTCAACCAGACGGTGCCTTCCTTTCTCAACCAGACGGTGCCTTCCTTTCTCAACCAGACGGTGCCTTCCTTTCTCAACCAGATGGTGCCTTCCTTTCTCAACCAGACGGTGCCTTCCTTTCTCAACCAGACGGTGCCTTCCTTTCTCAACCAGACGGTGCCTTCCTTTCTCAACCAGACGGTGCCTTCCTTTCTCAACCAGACGGTGCCTTCCTTTCTCAACCAGACGGTGCCTTCCTTTCCCCACCATGTCTGCTCAGTGACCTATCCTTTCCTTTCCACTTGCATCTCCCACCGTTGGACGGACGCTCTCACTTGGACACTTCTTTACTTATTCCTACCACACATCTTGTCGTGCATCACTCATCCATCCTTTGTCGTGCATCACTCATACTTGCACCGTCGCTTGCATGAGAGTGTACTCCTCTTCGTATGCCTGCTGACTCCGCCCTTCTCCTACATGCATTTCTCCCTCTGCCCCTGCCCCATCGCACCAGGCTGTGTCTGTCACTGGGTCACGAGGATCAGGACGCCCTGCTCGCCACGCTGCACTCGCTCGCCAACTCTGCCGAGTCCTATGCTGAAGTCAAGGTGACCGTCCCCCCCCATCCCCTCCCCTCCCCGCCCCTCCCCTCCCCTCCCCTCCCGTCCCCTCCCCTCTTCTCCCATCCCCTCCCCTTCCCTCTCCTCCTAAGTGGCGAAATAGGCTTTTGCCTTTAAGCGTATAGCGTTCATCCGCTTGCGTATACACGCAAAACGCTATACGCTAACGAATACGCAATACACTCGGGGTTTTTTTTTTGGGCAGCCCAAAATCAATTGTTTTTTTTTAGTATATCTGAAAAGTTTCGTCTTTTCACGGCGAAGAAGATGCCGTGCTCGAAATGCACGTCCGAGATCTACCCTGGCCTGGACGTGATTTCAATGTGTGGAGGTGAGTTGGTTTCCGTCCTTTCAATTCGCGGCGCCGCGAGTGTGAGTTGGGTTACGTGGCTCCAATTTCTGGAGTTGAGATGTCCTTGACATTTCACATTGGAGTTCCACCAATTTGTACCGCTCTCGATCTACAAACAAACCCCCTCCAATCCAACTTCTCCCCACCAATCCATCCCACGCTACTCCAAGCAGGTATTGTTCTATCTCGTCAATTTATCCTCCCGTTTGCCTTCAAAGAGCTTTGTAGAATGGCTTCTGCAGTTGATAACCCGACCCAGTCCACTCCCCCTCCTAATACCGGCACGGCAAGTCCTGTTCGTGCGGCACGAGTTTACCTTCCGGATGTCGACCACGAGGTGTTCAAGCATTTCCGCCTCATAAAGGTGGACGAAGGGAAATCGCAGCAGTACGAGTGCAAGTGCTGCTGCAATGTTTTTTCTGGTGCCGCCATCCGATGTGCGCAGCATTTGGCGAGTTGGAGGAAGATGAAGCGTCGCGAAGTGGCGCTATGCAAGGAAGCCCCCTTTGAAGTTCGGGCTGCTATGCGGAAGAAGTACGAGGCAAAGGCTGCAGCGGCGGATCAGCGCTGCCAGGTGGCATCTGATGCCATTGCGTCGGTCACCAGCAGCGGAAAGAGGAGCCGCATAACTGACTTCTTGGAGACGGATGCGGTAGCTGGGAAGCGCGATGCACATGAGGCGTTGGCGCTCATGTTCGCGGGGTGTCGCATCCCGGAGCGCGTCGCGGAGCACCCTCTCTTCATCAACGCCGTCGGTGCCATTAGGGATGCCGGCACAGGATACGTCCCCCCTAGGAGGGGGTTCATTGGCGGGGCGGGCCTGCGACTGTGCTGCGAGAACATCGACAGGGGGCTGGCTGGAGTGAAGGCGAGCTTGAAGCGGACCGGCGTGACAGTTTCTTCTGATATGATGACCGATAAGAACGGTCGCCCACAGGCGAACGTCTTTCTCGTCAACGACAGTGGCGCGGTGTTCAAGGAGAGCGTGGACTGCCGCATGGATACCAAAACCGGCGGTTATGTCGCCAACATCCTCAGGCCTGTGGTGGAGGAGGTCGGCTCGGAAAACGTGGTGGTGTTCTGCACGGATGGTGGGTCCAACTACGCGGTGGCGTGCAACGAGTTGATCGCGGAATGGCCGCACATTCAACACGTGCCATGCGGCCAAGACCTCTTCATGGAGGACGTTGGTAAGATGTCGTGGGCCAAGAAGGTGGTGGACCCTGCGGGCGAGATAAGCTCCTTCGTCCGCAACCACCACTGGACGAGAGGATAGTTGAGGACCCCGGAAACGGTGGGTGCAAAGATGCTGCAGGCCCTAAAACCGGTTGGAACAAGATTCGGGACACAGTACATTGTTGTGTCCCATCTCTGTGAGCTACGGCAGTCGCTTGCCCAGATGGTGGTGTCTGATGTGTGGAAGGGCTGGGCAGTTAGGGAGAGGAAGAAGGCTGCGGAGAAGTTTTCAGCGCAAGTTCTTGATGCCGCGTGGTGGCGGACGGCGGAGTTTTTCTGCAAGCTGATGAAGCTCCCGTTCATGGCAATGCGTAAGACCAATGGGGATGCCAAGGGGATGATGGGCCATATGTATGACGTGATGCTGCAGTTGATTGAGGATGTGGGGACAGTGGTGGAGGAGGATGAGGAGCAGCTGAGCTACTCCGACAAAGTGCACATCCGCCACCTGCTGAAGAACAGGTGGACGGCAGCCTGGCCTGCCCCATGCACGTTGCGGGCCGGATTGTCAACCCGGCAAATCAGGATGAAGACATCTTCGGCTCAGACGCGGAGTGCACTAAGGTATTCAAAGCGTTCATCACTCAGCACGCCGAGCACCTCAGCAATCACGGGAAGGAGGGGGATGATGGGAATGACACCGGTGAGGTTTTGATGGAACTGCAGGACGAGGTGAGGGCATTTCTGGACATGAAGGTAAGCTTTGGGATGGGGGATGCAATTGTTCAGAGGAACTTGGTCAAGGAGGGCAAGTATGACATGGTAAAGTGGTGGCAGTGGCACGGCACTGACGCACCAAAGCTGGCGGCCCTCGCCATCAGGACTCTCTCTCATCTCGTGTCGGCTTCACCATGTGAGAGGGGATGGTCATCGTGGGATGGGGTGCACACGGCCCGCCGGAACCGGCTTGGCTCTGCCAAGTGCCGGGATTTGGTTTTTGTTGCGCACAACTGGAACGTTGTGCGCAACTGGCATTCCCGTGAAGATGTCATGCCGGGTGTGGTGCTCGGGAACATGCTGGAGCCTCCCGTGCCCGAGGGCTACAATGTGGTGGAGGGGGATGAGGAGGAGGAAGGGGAAGACGACATTCTGGAGGATGAGTATGAGTAGGCGGAGTATGAGTAGCATGAGTAGTAGTATGTGTAGTAGTTGTATGAGATGAGTAGTTGTCATTGTAATGTTGTTGGTGAAAATTTTTGAGTCGGGAAAAAAAAACCGGGAAATCCAACCCCTGTGGAAACTGACCCCAGAAGTATATCAGGGGGGTCTAATTTTACCTGTCCGAACTTTTTTTAGCCTGCCCGAAATAGCGTATCTAGGGTCTCAGGACTTTAGCGTATAGCGTATAGACTCATGCGTATATACGACACGCGTATATACGCTATACGCGTATATCGCCACTTAGCTCTCCTCCCCTCTCCTCCCCCCGCCCCTCCCCTCCTCCCCTCTCCTCCACCTCATCGCATTGTGCAGCAAGATGTGCATTGAAAGCCCTCTTCCCGCTTCTGGTGCCTCAAGCACCTTATCAGCTTGAAACCAGGCGACACTGCTTGTTGTAAGAACGATCAACTGTGCGTTGCCTCTCCAGCCCTGGACCTACATCCCCACCAAGCCCCTTTCCCCCCCTGTGCGCCTCCCCATGCAGCTGTCAGGCGACGAGTTGGAGCGGTTTGTGGCGGAGGCGATGACGGGGCTCAAGGTCAGCCCCGAGGCCGAGCGCCTGGACCACGAGGCCCGGCGCCTGGAGCACGCCGTGGCGCACGGGCTGGCCGCCCTGCACGCCGCGCCACCACTGCTCGGCGGGGAGGATGATGATGGCATCCGGGGCACCGGGGGTGGCGCGGAGGGGAAAGGAAGGGGTGAGGAGGAAGGGGGGGAAGGGGCAGAGAAGGCAGAGGGTGAAGGAGGGGAGGCAGAGAAGGCAGAGGGTGAAGGAGGGGAGGCAGAGAGAGCAGAGAGGGAGGCGGCGTTGGGGCGAGTGGAGGAGGCGGAGAGGGCGGTGGATGAGGTGCTGGCGGTGCAGCAGCAGGAGGTGCAGGCCGCACGCAGCAGGGAGGTGCTGCGTGCCGCGCTGCGCCTGGTGGCGCTGGAGAGGCGCCGTGAAGCTCTGCTGCAGCAGGGGGACACTCCGGGCGACCGCGCGCTCAAGGTGGGCAGGGCATGCTTTGAGAGCAGCGGAAAGAGCGTTGATGGAGTGAGTCGGCGGTCAGGGTGACAGGTGTTGCAATGAAAGACAGGTGGTGCCATGAAAGACAGGTGGTGCAATGAAAGACAGTCAAAACTTATGAAGGGGGACCCACTTAGCTCACACGCAGATCCAGCGCTGTGAATGGTATTCCTGCTCGGATGCCATCTGCATGCAAGGGTCCTGTTGGACGCAAGGAGCACGAGGGACTGCATTTCTCGCGAACGTAAGTTTTTCCCATGTTATCACAATGTGCGTCATCCCATGTTATCGATTGGTTGTTGCGATAGGGAAGTTGACTCACTAGGGTATTTGGTCTGGTCATTAGAGAAATTCGCTGGAACATCAAAAGTAGACTGTTCCACGATGCTCTCAATCTCAAGGAATTCTGTGGAGCCAAAAAATGGCTGCCCAGTAAGGTAGGACGAGCAAAAAGAACAATGAGTGAGACAAGCCCACCAGCACAGAAATGAGCCACCAGCACAGAAATGAGCCACCAGCACAGAAATGAGCCACCAGCACAGAAATGAGCCACCAGCACAGAAATGAGCCACCAGCACAGAAATGAGCCACCAGCACAGAAATGAGCCACCAGCACAGAAATGAGCCACCAGCACAGAAATGAGCCACCAGCACAGAAATGAGCCACCAGCACAGAAATGAGCCACCAGCACAGAAATGAGCCACCAGCACAGAAATGAGCCACCAGCACAGAAATGAGCCACCAGCACAGAAATGAGCCACCAGCACAGAAATGAGCCACCAGCACAGAAATGAGCCACCAGCACAGAAATGAGCCACCAGCACAGAAATGAGCCACCAGCACAGAAATGAGCCACCAGCACAGAAATGAGCCACCAGCACAGAAATGAGCCACCAGCACAGAAATGAGCCACCAGCACAGAAATGAGCCACCAGCACAGAAATGAGCCACCAGCACAGAAATGAGCCACCAGCACAGAAATGAGCCACCAGCACAGAAATGAGCCACCAGCACAGAAATGAGCCACCAGCACAGAAATGAGCCACCAGCACAGAAATGAGCCACCAGCACAGAAATGAGCCACTATACATGGGCAACGAGCCGAGCCGAGTTTTACTCGGCTCGTTCCCAGGCACACTCGTACGAGCTTTGGTCCGAGCCGAGTTTTGCTCGTACGAGCTTTTTCTGGGCAAATGCAAGCTCGTGACTCGGCCAAAAAGCACGAGCTTTTCAAAAGCTCGTCCGAGCTTCGAGGAAAGCTCGGACGAGCCGAGGGAAGCTCCGCTCATTGCCATACACAGTCTAAATAACCCAACCTATGCCCCACCATGTCCCTCCATCTCTGCTGTGCAGGTGTACGAGGTACTAGCTTAGACGTTTCAAGTACTTGCCTATGTTTGTAAAACTGCTGCCTAAGAAATATGCCTAGCAAGCAGTCATCACATAAATATTACCATATCCAGACCAAGTCTTTCGCCCTGGAGAGCGTCAGTATTGGGTGGGGGATCGCAAAACCGGACCAGTGAGGGCAACAAGGTAGAACCACACCCAAACCCAAAAGCAATGGAAGTCAAAGTCTTGAATAATTAAAGAGGTACCCACTGAGGGCCACCTGCAGCAACACCACCACCAGGCGTCATCCCATTCCAGCCCACACCACATTCGCACCCCCCTTCCTCATGCATCGTCATCCAACTCCAATCCAAACAAATCCTTTGCCGCCTTCTCCAGCAGGGCCTTTGCCGCCTTTGCCCAATTTGCACCCTTGGTGCGTCTCCACCCATGATTTAAGCAACATTACCGCTTCAACGCGCTCGGGTCCTAGCCTATGACGCTGCCACGTGATAAGGTTGCGGCCCAGCGAGAACGTGCGCTCGCTAGCCGCCGACGTGGCAGGTATGGCTAGGTAATCAAGCGCCATCGCCTGCAGCCCCTTTAGATCCCCCTTACGGCGCTAATACGCAAGGGGGTCGACTCCCATGGGCTCCATCTGCTCATTGATATAGTCTTGAATCTCGTCTTTGATCGTCACTGCCTGTCGGCTTCGGAAGGCAGCCAGGCGTGCCATCAAACTCGACTGATCCCCCACAACACCCCCAAAGGCATCGTTCGCAAGGCCTTTCCCCCCCTTGCTGCTGCCGGCTCCTCCACCATCCCGGGCGATGCTGCTGCCCCCCTCTATGCCAACCCGGCCACTCGCCCCAGCAGATGACCGTCCTCCCTCCCTCTTCTCCCGCAGGGCGACCGCCTTGTCCTTGTACGGGCGCCACTTCGCCCGCACAAGTTCCAGAACCTGCTCGGCAGCCACGTGCTGTGCGTTCTGGCCCCCTCCCTCCGTCGACCCCTCCTTCCCCATCTGAAAGTACCCGAGCTTGAAGCTCGGGTCTAGAAAAGTGGCAATCCACAACTCGTCAGGGCTGCCAGAGTAGTACTCGTTCAGCTTTCCCAAAGCCAGGTTGATGCACTCCTTCATGATCCTGGAGGGAGGGAGTGACTCATTGTCCCTAATCCCCTCCAGGGTGTCCAGCAGTTCGTTGAACCCATGTTGATCGTGGGGTACTTGGACCCCTCGGCCGCAAAGGGTAAGAGCAAAGGGTCGCAGGAAGTCAGCGAGCTCCTCCAGGGCCGTCCACATCACGGGGGTGATGGTGAGGTCCTTGAGGCGTGCGACCGCTTCTTCGCTCATGTCCTGTGTGGAATCGTTGGGGTGAAAGTTCATCAAAGGATTACAAAAGGGAGGATTAGTATGGGAGATGCGGGAAGTTTTCAAGAGAATGGGCACGATATACATAGGTGGTTTCTCGACACATGCATGGAGAGTATATCAATACACTTCATATGACACGTACCTCGGTGCCGCGGCAAAATCGGTCGATCGCATGCCGCAGTTTGATCGCGCGCTCGAGCATGATGTAGGTCGAGCCCCATCTGACCTCGTTGTCCTGGCGAAGCTTCAAGATCTTGGCCTTTTTGTTCTCGGCCCTTTGAGCCTCCTCGAAAGCCGCTGTCCTCTTTGGCGAGTAGCCAATGAAGGACGCAAGGTCTCGAATGAGGCCCAAGGGCTCCTTAATGTCGACCACCTTCTTCAACGCTAGCTGGATAGCTAGGTTGCAGATATGTGCGAGACACCTGAGGTGGGGAGGAAGGTGGGTAAGTGTAGGAGTGTCAGTGTTAGTGGGTAGGTTCGAGAGTGTTGGTGTTAGTGGGTTACTTTAGTGGAGCCGGCCATGAAGGTGGAGTGGGTGCATTGGATGGGTGTGGACCGTTAAACGGCCGCAGCTCATCATGTGACATTACGGCGGACACATACCGGACATGCATGCCGGACGAAAACATGGGCGGCTCGCGCGCACGGCACAGATGCTCCATGGCCGAGACGTTGGCCGAAGCGTTGTCGGACGTGATAGCAATGCATCGTCCATCCAGGTTCCACTCCTTCACCACGTCCTCCAAGATCTGAATGATCTTCTTGCCCGTGTGGTCGCCAGACGGGATAGCACGGAAAGCGAGGGTGACCTGCCTCAACTGGAACTTGTCAGTGAGCGAGTGACCTGTCACTGACATGTATGAGCGACCGTCAGTGCCTGTCCACATGTCCGTGGTCAGGGCCACTGCCCCTGCACCCTCGGCCAGCAACTCCTCCCTCATCTTACTCTTGGCCAATCCTGCCAAGCGCATGATCTGGCGGGCTAGTGTGGTGCGGGAGGGAATGGTGTGCTGTACCGCACACTCGGGGTTCGCGGCAATCATTAGGTGGCGAAACTGCAAGAGGGTAGTAGCAGGGAAGGTGAACATGGAGGGAGACAGCACACTAAGGTCACGTACTCAATGAAGCACCCCTACAGTGATCTGCTATGGCTGTGAAGGTAAGATTCAGCGGCAAAGGTCAGTCATCTCGACGTAGTGATGAGCCCCGGTGCAGCAACAAGGCTTATCAGTGGTCGTTACAAGTGACGTACCGTCGGATGCTCGACCACGCTGAACGCTTGGTCGGTGGCGACCACGAACTCAACGATGGCCTGCTGCAGGAAGTCTTTGTCGAAGCGACCCGGGTACCACTTCTCCAACACCTGCTGGCCCGTCCTGGCCGCGACCCCTGCCCCTGGCGGTGGCGCAGGCCACGTGGCCGATCCCTCCCACGATTTCCCCCCATCTGGAACCTCATTGTCCACTCCATAACCACCCTTCGGGAACATATCCTTGGGCCCCACCTCCCCCCCAAAAAACTTGCGTAGCCAGATATCGTAGTGAGCCTTGTGCTGAGAGAGCATGTGATTCAGCCCTGTAGTGCAGTTGGTACCAACAAAGGAAATTGGGTTGCCGCATTTGCGACAGTTGCGCCTCTCCTTCGGGTCCCCTTCGATCTTGTCGAAGCATCGCGTCACCTTACCCTTAATATTGACGGGTTTAGATGGTTTGGCATGCGGGGTAGCAGATGGAGTCACAGGCGGGTCTGCCGCATCAACCGCGCCTTTCCCACGATCCTTGCCTTTACCCCCACCCTCTTACCCTTTCCACGTCCACCACCTCTCCCCCGCCCACCACCCCTTCCGCGCCCACCACCTTTCCCCCGTCCACCACCAGCGCCACGCCGTCTCTTCTTCTTAGCTTGCACCTCAACGTCCACATCCTCTTCTTCATCGACAAGGTCATCGAGATCCAAAGCCTCGTCACCTTCCTCGGCCTCCTCAACGTTCCCGACGTACACCTCTTCTTCGGAGTCATCCCCACTCCCCTCGTCGTCCTCTTGCCCATCCCCCTCATCCTCTTCATCCTCGCCATCACCTGCCTCGTCCTCGTCCTCATACCCGTCCTCCTCCTCTTCCCCCTCTGCAGCATCCCCTCCATCGTCCTCCTCATAATCCGCCTCGTTCACGTCCACGTTATCCTCCCAAAAACCACCACCATTATATTCACCCGCCATTTCAGCATCATCACCTCCGCCACCCGCCTCTCGACCATGTGTAGCTTTGCATGGCCGCGGCCTTTGTTGCTTTTTCGCGTTCCGCCTCCGCAGCGACATACTTCAGACGACGCTGCTCGCACGCAGACATCGCGTGTGGCGTACCGTCGTCGTGGTCGCCTCGACCGCCTCCCCTACCAGCGGTCGAACGGCCACCCCGACCACGCCCGCGTCCAGGCAGCTTACCCGACGGGGTCTTGAATGCTTTTTGTTTAGAACGTGCCATCATCGGTCGCGTTGAGTCAGATCTAAGTCGTAGTCGTCAGCAATGTGGACCCTAAGTCATCGAAATAATAAGAAAACCTATGGTGCGTGGTCGACGCACTCCAAAATGTCAGCGCAACCTAAATCCGTGAAAGGGATCCCGAGTAGAATCAAGGTCGTAACCATAACTTAAACTAAAAACGGGCCAGATTGCTCCGTGAGCTAGGACGCGATCATGATCGCGTTTGTGAGGTGAGGGTCTGCTGCGTCAAAGTTGGGAAAAGTAGATCTGGAAAAATGGCCCGACACATTTGTACCAACCCAACCCAACCCTCAGATCTAGGTTTTGGTGTTCGCGCCGAGCATTCTGTAAGCTCGGCGAGTTTTTAAAACTCGCCGAGTGAAAAAAGCTCGGCGAGTTTCTCAAAAAACTCGTTGGTGCAACGAGTACTCGGCGAGTTTTAAAAACTCGCCGAGCGAAACTCGCCTCGGCTCGGACGAGTTATTTTCACGGAAAATGACACTCGGTACTCGCCCTCAAACGAGTGCCTCGTACGAGCCGAGGCGAAAAACTCGGCTCGTTGCCCATGTATATGAGCCACCAGCACAGAAATGAGCCACCAGCACAGAAATGAGCCACCAGCACAGAAATGAGCCACCAGCACAGAAATGAGCCATCAGCACAGAAATGAGCCACCAGCGCAAAGACACCCAAAAATGAACACGCGGATGTTAAGGGAGCAGTGCAGAGATGAGGTAACTTGTAAGGGTGGAGAGTTACGTGGACTGATTGATGTCTTGACGCATCTTAAACACCCCCTCCCTTCCACCCCCCACTGATGCCATGCCTCCCCTCTCCCCCCTTGCATGTCATGGCACGGCATGGCACGGCATGGCACGGCATGGCACGGCATGGCACGGCATCTCAAACACCCCCTCCCTTCCCCCCCGCTGGTGCCATGGCGCCCCTCGGCCGTGCATGGCATGACATGGCATGGCATGGCATGGCATGGCAGGTGGAGCGCGTGACATCGCTGGCAGCGGAGCTGGGCGAGGGGGTGGAGGCGCTGAGGAAGCAGATGGCGGAGTGCGCGCAGCAGAAGGCGGACGCCCTGGCCTACCGCACCGCCAAGGCGCAGGAGGCTGCTGACTCGCACTCCGTGAGGGCCCTCTTGTCCTGTCTCATGTCCAAGCTCCATTCATGCTCCAACAGCAACCCCACCAGCCTGTTTCTTGGGTGCCCCCATGCCTTCCACCCTCCACTCTCCTCTCCGTGCCTCTCACTCTCCGTGCCTCTCACTCTCCGTGCCTCTCACTCTCCGTGCCTCCCTGCCTTACTTCTCTCTCACCCGCTCACATGCCTTGCCATGCCGCCCTTGTTGCCGTGCCGTGGCCGCGAGGTGGACATGCTGTGGTGCTGCGCTCGGTTGGGCCGCCACGCCAAAGGCAGAGCAGTTGCGTGTGAGGTGTGGCAGCAACACTCTCTCCCCCTGTGCGGCTGTGTGGGCATGGCAGGTGGTGGACCGTGAGATGGCGGCCCTGCAGGCCAGGAAGGCGGAGCTGGAGGAGGAGCTGAGCAAGGTGAGGAGGAGCTGAGCAAGGTGAGGAGGAGCTGAGCAAGGTGAGGAGGAGCTGAGCAAGGTGAGGAGGAGCTGAGCAAGGTGAGGAGGAGCTGAGCAAGGTGAGGAGGAGCTGAGCAAGGTGAGGAGGAGCTGAGCAAGGTGAGGAGGAGCTGAGCAAGGTGAGGAGGAGCTGAGCAAGGTGAGGAGGAGCTGAGCAAGGTGAGGAGGAGCTGAGCAAGGTGAGGAGGAGCTGAGCAAGGTGAGGAGGAGCTGAGCAAGGTGAGGAGGAGCTGAGCAAGGTGAGGAGGAGCTGAGCAAGGTGAGGAGGAGCTGAGCAAGGTGAGGAGGAGCTGAGCAAGGTGAGGAGGAGCTGAGCAAGGTGAGGAGGAGCTGAGCAAGGTGAGGAGGAGCTGAGCAAGGTGAGGAGGAGCTGAGCAAGGTGAGGAGGAGCTGAGCAAGGTGAGGAGGAGCTGAGCAAGGTGAGGAGGAGCTGAGCAAGGTGAGGAGGAGCTGAGCAAGGTGAGGAGGAGCTGAGCAAGGTGAGGAGGAGCTGAGCAAGGTGAGGAGGAGCTGAGCAAGGTGAGGGGCAGTGGAGGAGAGCAAACTTTGGGGCAGCTGCGGGCGGGTACAGAGTGGTGCATTGGTGAAGCAGGGAATGGGATTTCATCCATCTCACATGCCAGCACACCAACAGGGGACTGAGGGCTCCTCTGCTGCTGCTGCTCCAGCTGCCACTTCGCCATCCCTCTCTGCACCCCACCCCACTGCTGCCGCCTCAACACATGTACCATCTGGCGCTGCTGTTGCCCCATGTCACCACCAACAGGTGCAGAGCGCCATAGACAGCTTGAGCAAGAAGCAGGGGAAGGTGCGCGAGGAGAAGGAGCAGTTCAGCATGGCCAGCAGCAGCATCGTCAGCCACCTTGCAGCGCAGGTAACGTGGTAACCACCTCACGTGCAGTGCAGGTAACACGATTGCCACTTTCTTGCACAGGTAGCGCAGTAAAGCACGAAATCGTAGTGGCAGCCATCTTGTACTGACGTGTCGTGTCGTCTTCAATCCTTGCTCGCGCACCTTTGTCTGCTCGTGTCTCTTGTATCATCGCTCGCCTCCCTTGGCCGGCCGCTCATTTCTCATTCCTCATCATCTCTTTTGCTGCTTTCCACCCCATGTGGCGCGGCGGGGTGCGGGTCGGCATGGCATGGCATGGCATGGCAGGAGGCGCGGCTGAAGGCGTCGATGGAGGAGCATGAGGGCGATGGGAGGGCGCTGGAGGAGTGGAGAAAGTTCCTGCAGCGCACGTGGCAGCTGCAGTCCGCCGCCCTCGAGGAGCAGGAGAAACGCCTCAAGTGCGTGGCGTGGCCTGCCGGCAGGATGGGTGCAGTGCAGGGGGAAGTGTCAAGCAAGGGTCATGGGGGGAGTGTTTTGAGTGCTTCACGTTGCCATGTGCCTGGCTCACATGCATGCCACATGTCACTCCCCACATTCACTGCTCCTGCGCTCTCTCCCCGCCGCCATCAACGATTGCCCGCCCACAGGGAGGAGGCATCAGCCCGCAGGGACCGGCTCTTTGCCGCTGCCACATCGCATCTGCACCTCTGTCAGGTGAGCGGCTCTCAGGTGGGAGGCTGCTCAAGTGGGAGGCTGCTCAAGTGGGAGGCTGCTCAAGTGGGTGGCTGCTCAAGTGGGTGGCTGCTCAGGTGGGTAGCTGCTCAGGTGGGTGGCTGCTCAAGTGGGAGGCTGCTCAAGTGGGTGGCTGCTCAAATGGGTGGCTGCTCAGGTGGGTAGCTGCTCAGGTGGGTGGACGCTCAGGTGGGTGGCTGCTCAGGTGGGTGGCTGCTCAGGTGGGTGGCTGCTCAGGGGGGTGGCTGCTCAGGTGGGTGGCTGCTCAGGTGGGTGGCTGCTCAGGTGGGTGGCTGCTCAGGTGGGTGGCTGCTCAGGTGGGTGGCTGCTCAGGTGGGTGGCTGCTCAGGTGGGTGGCTGCTCAGGTGGGTGGCTGCTCAGGTGGGTGGCTGCTCAGGTGGGTGGCTGCTCAGGTGGGTGATAGTACATGTGTGCACACACACAGCATTGGCCGGAAGTGCATGTTTTTTCTTCACACTGCATCTGCTCGTCTGGCTATCGGAACCCACTCACTCGTTCCGTTTGTGGCCCCTTTTTCAAGCCCATCATATCCGCCCCCATGTGCACCCGCCCCATGTGCGCCGCCCATGTGGCGTGGCACGTGGCAGGCCCAGCTGGAGTCATTCTGGGGCAGGGCCAAGGCAGTGGTGGGTACGCTGGAAGGCATTCACAACAAGAGGTCAGCGCCCTGCTCAGCTCAATGTTGCTGCTGCTGCCATCACTCACAGGGCCAGCCTGTCACAATTCGCTTTTTACTGTTGTTATCAAGTTCAGTGCTTTTAGGGTTCCGCCACGTATGAAAAAAGAACCAGCTTGTATTGAGTGGCGCACAATAGTCCATGACGAGTCTACGCTTGGAGTGGGTGGATCTGTGCTGAGGCACACTCACATGCATGGCATGGCGCCCTCGAGGGCCAGCCCGTATAAGCCGGAGCGTTGAAGAGCCTGGAACACCTAGCCAGTACCAGTGCTGCAAAACCGTCATGTCACGTGCGAGTGGTGGGTGAGAGTGGTGGGTGAGAGTGGTAGGTGAGAGTGGTGGTGAGCACAGATGCAGCTGAGCACAGATGCAGCTGAGCACAGATGCAGCTGAGCACAGATGCAGCTGAGCACAGATGCAGCTGAGCACAGATGCAGCTGAGCACAGATGCAGCTGAGCACAGATGCAGCTGAGCACAGATGCAGCTGAGCACAGATGCAGCTGAGCACAGATGCAGCTGAGCACAGATGCAGCTGAGCACAGATGCAGCTGAGCACAGATGCAGCTGAGCACAGATGCAGCTGAGCACAGATGCAGCTGAGCACAGATGCAGCTGAGCACAGATGCAGCTGAGCACAGATGCAGCTGAGCACAGATGCAGCTGAGCACAGATGCAGCTGAGCACAGATGCAGCTGAGCACAGATGCAGCTGAGCACAGATGCAGCTGAGCACAGATGCAGCTGAGCACAGATGCAGCTGAGCACAGATGCAGCTGAGCACAGATGCAGCTGAGCACAGATGCAGCTGAGCACAGATGCAGCTGAGCACAGATGCAGCTGAGCACAGATGCAGCTGAGCACAGATGCAGCTGAGCACAGATGCAGCTGAGCACAGATGCAGCTGAGCACAGATGCAGCTGAGCACAGATGCAGCTGAGCACAGATGCAGCTGAGCACAGATGCAGCTGAGCACAGATGCAGCTGAGCACAGATGCAGCTGAGCACAGATGCAGCTGAGCACAGATGCAGCTGAGCACAGATGCAGGTGAGCACAGATGCAGCCGAGTGAGACATCGTTTTCTCTCCCCTTGACCTTGACCTTGACCTTGACCTTGACCTTGACCTTGACCTTGACCTTGACCTTGACCTTGACCTTGACCTTGACCTTGACCTTGACCTTGACCTTGACCTTGACCTTGACCTTGACCTTGACCTTGACCTTGACCTTGACCTTGACCTTGACCTTGACCTTGACCTTGACCTTGACCTTGACCTTGACCTTGACCTTGACCTTGACCTTGACCTTGACCTTGACCTTGACCTTGACCTTGACCTTGCCCTTACCCGCGGTGCGTGGTTGCGGGGTGAGTGGCCCCACACGGCAGGGCGGGCATGGTGGCAGATGGCATGGACGCGGTGGTGGCGGACATCTCGCTGCGCCGCCTGCACTGGGAGGAGCGCTTCCTCGCCGCTGACATCCAGGTGGGTGCACGCTGCTGTGCTGCCACTGCCATACAAGGCCGTGGGCATGGGGGCACTGACATGGGGGGAGACCGATGGACCGGTACTTGTCAGGGTTAACCATCTTGAGTGCTTTGCGAGGCAGCGCTTCTTTAAAGCTCCAGCAAAGGGGATGAACACAACGTTTTGATTCAAACCAGGGATGAACTAGTTTCGGCTTTGGGAAGCCTTCATCAGCATCTGCTGAACATCCAGGAGCGTTCGAGCTGTTAAATAGTAGCGAGCGCGACCCGAGAATGTCTCGAGGGTCCGCGTGAACCCCAGGGGGTGTACTGTAGCCTGGCTATAAACTAGATAAGTGTAACAAACACTCTAGCATTTCCTAGCCGAGACTATGTAATCTTTTATCTTCTTAGGTAACTTCCAGGTGATCAAAGCTCGCCTTCCTGAAAACAATCCGTGTGTCAGCTTGTCCAGGTGTATTTTGAGTCGACTCAAAATTGGCCCGAGGTCAGACTTCTCCACAAGAGGGTTGAGGAGGCACTTCAAAACCTTGGCCATGGGCATGGGGGCACTGACATGGGGGCACTGACATGGGGGCACTGGCATATGGCGGCACTGGCATATGGCGGCACTGGCATATGGCGGCACTGGCATATGGCGGCACTGGCATATGGCGGCACTGGCATATGGGGGCACTGGCATATGGCGGCACTGACATAGGGGGCATTTTATGTGGCAGCACAGCAGCCATGCGCCTCCCGGCACCATTGTGTGTGCACTGGCCACCATTCACTCATACCGTACCTCTCATCCTGCAACTATTCCCCCTTCCTCTCGTGGAAAAGCCTCCATCTCCCTGAGGCCTGCGTTGCTGTGCGGCCGCGCGCCATCATCCCATCACTGCTCACGTGTGTGCTGTGCGCCCCACGGCTGTGGCATGGCACGAGCAGGTGAAGCGGTGCATGGGAGAGGCGGAGCTGGCCCTCAAGGACGTGCGCTCGTGGATGGACTCCCTCGCCTCGCCCTCCCCGTACGTCCATCCCCCACCAGCCCCCAATCCCCCCCCTGTGCCATGGCCCCACACTCGCTTCGTACCTGAGCATGCCAAAGCCTGCCTCTCAACACGCCAACGCTCTATCTGTTCGTTTAAGTCTCTGAGGATACTTTCCACTGGGCTTCCGCATGGCAGTTGCTTGTCATGGCAGTTGCTCGCCATGTAAGCCAGCTGATTCATTGCTCTCATGTCCATCCTGCTCCTCCCAAATTTCACCTTCCACCTCCCCTTTCACCCGCCCCACCTTCCTCTACAGCAAGTATACTTCTTGTCACCGTGCCCTCACACCTTTCACACCCCTCACACCTCTCACACCCCTCACATCCCTCGCACCCCTCACACCTCTCACACCCCTCACACCCCTCACACCTCTCACTCCCCTCACAGCCCGGCCGTGGCAGCAATGGCGTCACACCTGCCAGGCTGCCAGGGGGCTGCAAGCCGCCTCACCCTCACTGCTCACACACTGTGCGCTGCCTCTCTCGCTGCCCCTTTCCGACCTTTCCCCACTCCACCGTGTCCCCCCAGCGAGGACGTGGCACGGGTGAACGCACTGAGGGTGCGCGGGGTGGAGCTCGACGCACTGCTCGCTGACATCCGTGCCGCCCCGCGCCCCGCCCTCTCCATCTCCCACCCCTCCGTGCTCCGCGTGCCGCGCATCTCTCCTGCCTCGCCGCCCACCGCCACGGCACCTGCGGCGCCCACAGCAGCACCTGCCCCGGGTGCCACCTTCCCCGCCACCGTCGTCATTGCTCCCGTGGGAAGCGCATCCACCGCCCTCAACGCACCTCCCCCTGCACCTGCTGTCGGGCCGGCAGGACCGCGCCGCCCGTTCAAACCGTCGCTGCAGATCGGAGGGGATGCGGCGGGCGGCATGGGCGGCGGAGCGCCGGAGTCGCCCGAGGACGGCGCGCCGATGACGCCGTTTGTGATTTCGGGCGGCATGCGCCGCCCGCAGGGAGGCGGGTTCCGCGACGAGCAGGGCCGGCTGAGACGCCCCGCGAGAAAGCCCGGTGTGGCGTCGATCGCTGAGGGCGTGGAGGGGCCAGGTGACAAGGGCGGGGGGGAGGGCGGGCAACGGAGCAGTGAGGTTGAGCGTGAGGAGGGAGTGGTGGGTGATGGGGTCTCAGAGGGAGAAGTGGGTGAAAAGGCTGATTCCGAGGCAGAAGAGAAGGGGAGTGCGGATGGCAAGGTGACATGGTGAGAAAGCTTCATCACCAGCCTTCTGTGGCTGCCATGTGCATACAAACGCCTGCATGAATGTGTGCATTGGGCGCTCTTATAATGGGCATAAATAACATGGTGAATCAACAAAGGGAAAGCATGGTGTGGCCTCAGAAACCAGCGTAGTAAAAAGGCTGAGGCAAAAATACAACGAATTTCACACCTTATAAGAACCGGGGCCGACTTTCAGCCTTATCTCGTGTACCAATGCTGTTTTTCAAACCTTTTCTTTGTTGGAAACATGGAGTTTACGCTTCTGATGTGTCGTAACACCGTGCTGCAAGTGAAGCAAACTACAGCGAAACAACATCGAGTCAACTGAAGAGGTTGACAAAACGTAACAGCAAGAAGTTGAGGGAAGGTCAAAGGTCAGGGACCTTTGACTCGACGAAATACAGCACGACAGCAAGGACACACAACTGACTCGCTATTGAGCAGTTGCCCGAGTCGCGACTGTATATCTTGTCCTCATACTATGCTAGCACAAGGTGGTTCAACAAGCTCATTAAGAACGCTTCCGCAGTTACACCATAATCCTGAGTCTTAGTCTTAAACGATCCTAAGGGCTAATTCAGCCCAACATGGTATGGGAGCTGCAGGAAGACAAGATTCAACTTTTATTCCTTAACTGCTTACAACAACAAATGGCGTGGCAACACAGAAAGAGCATCGTTCATCTGCTGGGTCCCCTAGCGCTACTCCTACTCCACCTCCAGCCTCTGGACTCCAGACAGAGGGAGGCTCAATCCAGAGACCAGCTGCTGAATCCACTGAAACACCTGTGAACTAGGCAACCGGCTTCGACCCAAGCATGATGGAGAAGTTTTTCTCCTTCATGTCGTTCTACGAGCAACATCAGCAAACAGCACCTGCACAATCAAACAACAGCGACAACAACAACGGCGTTACTCCCATGAGTCTTGACGGCTCATCCTTTGCGCGCGGAAATCAACAGCAGCCGGCCTTCGCACCGTACGAGCCCCAGCGCGGCTCCATCAGCTTCATGCCGAACCGTCTTCAACCAAAGCCAATGGATGCGCTTCAGATGCAGTCACAATTCGCACACGTGTTAAAGCTGCAGACAACAACGCCATTCGACGGAAGGGATTTTTGTACGTGGTCCTTCGAGTTCGAGCTAATGATGGAAGGAGCTCAAATCATTGGCTTCTTCGACGGTTCCCTGCCATACCCAACGCACGGGACGCAGTACGACAAACAGCAGTACACATATCAGTCGCTGATGGCATACACGATTCTCTTACGGAATATAACGGCGAACGAGCAGCAGAACATCCGGTCTTATCGGGGATACGGCAACTCCGCCGAGCTCGCGTACAACCACCTGAAGAACCTGTATCAAGCAAACGATAGTGTCAATCAGAGTCATGTCATGGCGCATCTAACAATAGTTCAAATGCTACCCGGCGAAAAGGGAATGGCGTATATCAGCAGGTGTCGCGGCCTGCGCGACAGACTCCATCGATGGGGCAGATCACTGTCAGAAGAGGCCTTCGTCACTGTCGTCATCACAGGACTTGGTCCTCAGCGGCGCTCCACCCGGGCCATTCTTCGAGCCCATGGAAAAATCTCCGAAGCAGCACTCTGTACAGAAATCCATGCCGAGCAACAAGACATGGACCTGCACGAAGAACGACATAAGAGAAAGGCATCAGCGCCACAATTCGCATTCCATGCTCTGAGACGCTACAACAACAACCGACAACGCGGAAATTAGGCATAGAGACACGTACCAACATTCTGTCACCTCTGCGACGCGTCCGCCCACCCCCGCACTCACTGCCCAAATTAGCAGCAGTCAACTCAGCCGCCACGAAAACTTCGACCCTCGAGCAACCAAGTGACTTCAACGCAACAGTCCAACCAGACACAAGTTCTGAAGACGACACCACGACATGCACAAGGAACAAGAAACATCGTCAGCTGCATGATACCAACAGACTCATGCATCACCGGATCTCCACCAACCTACTCACCAGAAGAAATACTCGACGAACGTACACCTCGTCGCGAATCACTGGAGCCGAACCCGACGTACGCAGCCATCGCCCAGAGCGAACCACCCGGGAAGGATACTTGGTTCTTGGACAGCTCGTGCGGCCAGCGCACGTGTCCCTCAAGCCGCTTCGTCCAACGAGAGCAACGCCTCAACCGCGAAGTCGTCATCACCGTCGCCAACAATCAGAACCTGCGCAGACAACAGCAAGAAGTAGTTCAACTTCAATCCCGCGAAACCAACGTCATCCTACAAATGACAAAAGTGCTGATTGCAGAAGGACTCGGCTACAACTTACTCAGTGTCAGCCAACTCATGGCGAAAGGGATTCACCTTGAAGCTGATAACACCACTCAGGAGTTCAAGCTGTACAACGGGAAGGGAGGAATTTACATCGGCAAGGCGGTCCTAAAAAAACAATGTCTTTGTCCTCGACTTCGTTCCAGATCTAGGCACCGCAGACAGCGACGGCATCGTGAGCTTCACCACTTGGACGCACCCGCCAGACCTCGACCCCGACTTCAGTCCCGGAGGTTTTTGGTACTCGCACACCAGACCTGAGGCAGAACGAACGAGAGCGTTAGCTGTGATACAACAAAGCACGACGACAACAACATCGGCAGCAGCAGAGGCAACAACATCGGCAGCAGCAGAGGCAACAACATCAGCAGTAGCAGAGGTAACAACAGCACCAACGTCAAACCTCCTTGCCACAGGTCCTTCAATGACACCACTTCCTCTTGACGAGCCGACACCGACTCCAGCACAACAGTTGACTCCCGTCCCACGAGCCATTCACCAAAGTGCCAACCTTGTTGCCGGCTTCTACTCCAACTCAAACCTGTACAGTCGTTCACACGGACATCGCGCAAGCGAATCACTATGGCACGAGAGGTTAGGACATCCGAGCAACACAACATTAAATAATACAATTCGAGCAGGCGTCCTCGACAAAGATTCACTGCTACTACCCGACGGCAAAGAACTTTAGCGAGCTCGAGGAACTTGCTTTACTTGCCCGGAAGCCGACTTACCGCATCAGCCGTTCGTCTCTCACCACAACCCAAGCGCACCAGCCTACGCACCACTTGAAAAGGTTTACAGCGGCATACTGTACAATCGCGAGAGCAGACAGGGAGCGTACAACTACGTCATCACCTTCATCGACGCCGCCACTAGATATGTCGGGCACGCCAACCTGCCAAGCTGCTACATGGCCTTCGACGCCTTTGTCGCATGGCTCCCGGTAGCAGAAAGAGAATCTGACGAGAAATTGAAAAGCTTTCAGTCAGACGGGGGAGGAGAATACCAGTCACAACGCTTCAAGCAGTACCTGGCAGAGAGAGGCATCAAGCGACTCATCTCCCTCCCCTACGCCCATCAACAGCAAGGCGTAGCAGAAAGAATGAACAGGACCCTCTAGAGCACCATGCACAAGCTGCTACGTGGTATGCTACTACCCGACCACCAGTGGCCTGCAGCAATGGACCATGCTGTCATGCTGCACAACTTGCTTTCGTCGTCGTCACTCCCGAACAACGCATCGGCGCATCTGCTGTGGACAGGGAAATTGGGCAACACAAAAATGTTACGAGTTTTTGGCTGCATGGTACAGTACCGACCGCACACTGCACGAGCCGGAAGATTTTCGCAACATGCACAGTGGGGAATACACCTGGGCATCGAAAACATTACACCGCATGGAAGATATTCGACGTCCACTCGCAGGAAAAAGTGGCAGCACGTGACGTTATCTTCTACGATCGACTCACCCTTCACACGTACCTGGCCAACCTGCGGAAAAACCAAGACCCCACAGACGGAATTCGTTGCAACCGAGCCTTCGTTTTGTTAGCAGAGGAAGCTTACTGGGACGAGCAGAACGTGGACGGGGCATCGGAACAAGCCGGACCTCTTCCCTACTGCTCGGTCGATATCCCGATGGACAAAGACAACCCCCGCGAAAGCATCAACGCCGAAGTCTACTATGACTTTGTCGACAATGGTTACGTTACACCCCAGCCAGTTGACACCAACATCTCCGAACGCATAGGACCCAACTTCTTACCTGAACCAGAAGCGAGAGACGATGCAGTCTATCCCGAGGATGAAAATCTCCCCCGACTCCTACAAAGTGGCCTCCAAATACTCGGCCTAGTCACCGCCGTCCACGGAGCTTCGCCACCTAAGGAGCCTGCCACAGTTCAGCAGGCTCTGGGGGGGGAGCACAGAGAAAAATGGTGCGAAGCCATGGACAGGGAGCTAAAGGCATTAGAAGACAGAAATACCTAGAAAATCGTACCCATCGCCTTGGCACGCAACAAAACCGTACTCACCGGGAAGTGGTTCTTCCGTGTGAAGACAAAAGCAGATGGAACCATCGACAAGTTCAAAGCACGATGGGTCGTGCGCGCATTTGACCAAGAACACGGACGCGACTTCACCGAAACCTTCGCACCTGTCAGCCGACACACCTCGCTCCGAATTCTCCTCGCGATAGCCGCCATGAAGTGAAAGAAACTTTGTCAGATCGACGTGGCCAACGCTTTTCCCTACGCCCCCGTCAACACCGAAATTTTCGTCGAGCAGCTGCACGGTTCAGACACAGACCCTAACCAAGTCTGTAAGCTGCTGAAGTCCCTGTACGGGATCAAACAAGCTCCGAGACTGTGGCAGCAGTACCTACACGCCCGACTAATCCGCATCGGGTTCCGCCAACTACCCCACGATCAGGGAATGTATCGACTTACAAAAGGCGCCGACTACATTCTGCTTATCGTCTATGTAGACGACCTGCTCTACATAGGCTCCACTGACGACATCACAACCTGGTTTGAAAGGGAGCTACAAAAGGACCTCACCCTCACTGTCTCGTCTACTTTAACCCAATATCTGGGGCTCAACATCCAAGATGGCGAAAATGCGATCCATCTTAGCGCCGCTAAATACGCCGACACCATCGCAAA